GGATGTTTTGATTGTAAAAGTTGAATAAAAACTGGGAAGAGTATATAAAGGAAGGATGATCTATATATATATATATATATATATATATATATATATATATATATGGTTGGATAGATGTTAGCTCTATCTCTGATATTGAGCGCTTTCTAATAAGTACCGCGTATATAATATATAAATAATTATACATACTTATATTTATTTATATTTATATACATTTTCACATATATATATATATATATATATATATATATATATATATATATATATATATATATATATATATATGTAAATATAGTCTTAAGGTTTGCTATATTTATGGGATAAAGTGCTCAATATCAGAGATAGAGCGTGTGTAAATATAAAAGTGAACATAGAAGTCAAGACTCAGAGGCGACAGTCTGTTTCATGCTATATGCAATCGTCAGGCCACGTGTGCTGTTATTTTTCTCGGCTATTTATACATATACGGTTCAGTGGTGCATTGTGGGTAGTCTCTTACGGCGGTTATTTTACCGGAAAATGTTTATTTATTTATTTGGGTTAAATTATTTTCCTTGTTTTTATTTAATTTTATTTTTTGTTTCTTATTTTATTTATTTACTTATTTTTTAATCGGTGTTTTTTATTAACGTAGTAAAAATTTGTTTATATCACTTATTTAATAGTTTTGTTTTGGTTTGAGAATTTAATTAAAACTATTTGTTCGGTTTTGGGGTTGGTTGTAGTTTATTCTAACAATTATTTTGGCAGGAACAGTTTTTAATTTGTGTTTATTTGGGTTGATTATCTTTATTTGTTTTTTCTAACGGTAACTTTATCGGGTTTGGTTTGTTTATTTATTTACTTGGATGAATTTAGATCAATTTATTTTACTTGTAAATTTTCTCTTTTCGGTTTTCGATTTTTAAGTAACGTAGTATTTATTTTTTATTTTCATTTCATTTTTTATTTTTATTTTATTTTCTTTTTTTTTATCGTTATATAACAGTTATAGCTATTTTTTTCGTCCGATTTTTTGCTTTGATTTTTTAGTCTAACCAATATTTGGTCATAATGGTTTGCTACTTTGTTCATTATTTACTTTATTTATTTGGGTTCGTTGTTTTGTTTTTTTGTTATTATTATTATTATTATTCTATTTCGTCTATTCTAACAGGTGTGGTTTGGTAATTTGTTTGGATTAATTAATTTTGCTTATTTTATTGTTATTTTGTTTACTTGTTTATTTATTTGTTTTTTATTTTATTTTTCCGTTTTCAATTTTTTAAGTAACGTAGTAAAATTTGTTTTCATGTCTGCATTTTGAGATAAGCTCGGATCTTTTATTTAATAATTTATTTTGGTCTGGGAAAGTAATGATAGGTATTTTTTCCTCCAAGCAAAGTTTGCAAGTTTTTGATTGGTTGTTTTAGGCTGATGATCTTTTCCTTATTTTCCAAGATATTTTTGTTGTGATGTGCGTTTTGTTTTTAATTTCCCAGATATACTTAGAAAGCCTTCTACTGTTCGCATATTTACTATTTGTGAAAGATGTTTTTTGTGTATAATTTCTTTGTTTCCAGGGTCCTTCAGTTACTCCTATGTATACTTTTTCTTCATTATCTGGTGATTTTATCGTGGCTTGGTATATTACGTTGTTTTGTAAACAATTTCCGTTTAAGTGACATTCGTTAACCATTACACCGCCTTGGGGCGCCTAAATCACATTCTTTATATACAGACAATTGTCTTCAAATTTGTTGTTGTTATCACAACGTTTCGACCGTTGTATCCACCCATCTTCCTCAGATGTACATCGATTTACAGGGAACTCTTAACTGATACCCTCCGTTTAATCAACAGATGTAGTCTTTTCGCTCCACTACATGACTAGGGTGATATCTCATCCAGTTCTTATTTTTTTAGTAACTGCTCAGTTATTGCCCACCCGTTTCCGCTGTGTCCAAGTACTCGTTGCCCGACCCTGAGATTAAACTCACAATCAATATGTCTTCAAATTCACGAACCGATGCTTTAAACCACTAGGCCATTGTTCGGTAGGTGTCCATATATATTGAGAAATTCAAATAAATAAATAAATAAAAAAAGACTCCTACTCATTGAGAAGTTGACAGCAACAAAAATAAATTTCGAAGCTCTTTTTTAATAATTTTTTAAAAGACGAGAGCTTGTCAAATAATCCTTTACAGCGTTCGTAATCCTAATAATTTTTTTCTCCAAGGATAAAAGGAATGACAGAACATTTTCTATGTGACATGTTCCTCCAGGACATGAACGATAATGATTTTTCACAACCTCCTATTCGTTGCAGATCTACAAGAAATCTTTGCAAACTTAATATACCTGCTATCTACATGGTACGACAGAAATACTTTCCATATTTTAAATGTTGACAACCAGATCTTCGTAACTGTCATTAAAATATTTATTCAGCTGTGGTTTAAACAAAGGGCTACAGTTTTTATTCATTTCGGTATAAAAATGAAAACCTCCAAATCGT